GTAATCCCGCTGTGTTGACATACTTAACGACAACACGAATACGATTACTGTTCCTAAGTTACGAGAGCATGATAAAATAAGGTTATTTTCAAAACATTAACTTAATTTGAACTTAAAATATTGATATTCGTTTAATCATTTCCATATAATTTGCGTATATTTTAGTATTAAGATTTGGAAATGTGCACAATTTTCCCCACCAGTTTAAATTTTGGTAATTGCGACTTGTCTCGCAGTAGGACGCTATAGTAGTATAGGCAAGCTATAGAATTGCTAGAAAATATATTAGAAAACGTTTTTTTGTTCGTTCTCATTTGATTTTTTGCTTGTGCACGAAAAACGTATGTAATAACCTCTAGTTTTCATTTAATCATATGTATACATTAAGTAAAAACATGCCTTAGACCTAGCATAATATTTTTCATTTCCTGATTTTAATTTTTCATCTGAAGTTATTAAACAGCGTAATTTTGACCTTTTCGTAGCTTACAAATTAAGAAAGCTAGAACCAGTCGCCTTGTGGCGTCATTTATTGATTCTATGTCTAACTATTGCTGGATTTTATTTATTTGTAATATTTGAATCGTATCAAAGAGTATTCCAATATATATATATTATATTGAAACCTAATCTTTGGGGATTTTTCCTGGCTTAGGTAAATGGAACTACTGGAGTACTGCCTAGGAGGTTTGGTATATAGCCTTTCAAGAACATGCTACAATGATTTTTGGAGGTACTTTGAATAATTTGGCATACATGGAACTTCAAAAATGCTCTCAACCTCAAGGTGTTGCCTTGGTGATATTGGTTGTCAATTTGAGCAAAAATAGGAACAAAACTGATTCCTGATCTGAACTCTATTATAAATGGAGCCATATGTTGACTGTACAAAGAAGGGCAGGTGTGGTTACTTCATATGCTGTTTCTTACTGTTGAGTAAACTGTGTGATATTCAGGGTTTTCGTTCGCGTCAAAAGCTAACCCTTGGGCCTTATTTGCTGAGTACTTGTACAGATCTGTCAAGTTCGGATGATTAAAAACCTTGAGGTAACCAAAGCACCAAGGCCATTATTATAAACAGAATGGGGAGGGGGTTGTGTTTTTATGGTCTTTAGAATGCTATTTCCCATAAGGCATGATAGCTCTTGGAACAAATTTGTTTCTTAGTCCTCTGTTCCCCATTTGAGACATGTCAATAATTTGTTGTTGTTGTTGTGTACATAATGGCATAATGTATCGTTAATGGTTATACTGAGGTACATCATATGGTTATATTGACTAGAGGTACATTTGAAAAAGGCAAATTCAGGATTTAATGAACACTAAACACTTTTTACAGGTCTGGGCAACTACACTCTGTAGTGGGTCATTCCAGAAAACATCCATTAGAAGTTAACTCCCTACCCTCTTCAGACATCCTAATACATACCCTGGTTCCAGAGGCTCTTTGCGAGGCGAAAGAAACGAGAGGCAAGAACGGAGAGCCTCTGGTCACATCGATTGCAAATCCCACTACCACACTTGATTAGGTTCAGAATTTGAATCTTGCATGTGATTGGCCATTTGTAAAAATATGTCAAACCGGTTTGGGAAATAAACATTACTGCAAGCTAATTATAGCTATGATTAGCTTACAGTAATGTTTAATTCCCAAACTGGTTTGACATATTTTTACAAATGGCCAATCACATCCAAGATTCAAATTCTGAACCTAATCAAGTGTAGAATTGGGATTTGCAATCGATATGACCAGAGAGGCTCTCCGTTCTCGCCTCATGTTTCTTTCACCTCGCAAAGAGCCTCTGGAACCAGGGTACCTAATACACTGACTACTACCAGAAATAAATTTTTCTTCCCTCCCCCTCTTGACGGGAGAAATTTCCTCCTTGAGGGAGTGTGGATCTTTTCTTCTTGACGGGAGAAATTTCCTCCTTGAGGGAGTGTGGATCTTTTTAGTAACAAGTTTCAGAAAAAAATTAAAGTTGGACTTACCTTATTTGCCAGCTTAGAATCAAACTGAACCATGGGTAATTCATAATCTCGCTCGCTGACATCAACTTTACATTTATCAAAATTCTCCTCCTGAATGTGAATGATTTCTTTGCAATGTTGACAGACCACATAATCCTTTTGGTTGTTCATCCTAAATCCTCTCGCCGGCTTTCTCACTTTGGTTAGAAATGGAAAATCACTTGACGACACTGTTGTAACTTTGTGCCGAGGGAATATCTTACTGCAGAGGTAACAAGTGAATTCACTAAAGACGTATTGTCGCACCCAGGGATTCGAGATACCACACTGCTCGTGTTTTTCACACTCGTACCATTGGTTTATCATGTTACCATGGCAATATGTACACGTTATCACAGTTCCCGATGGTGATGGGGGTTTGGCATGGTAGGCTGGAACACGGTATGCTAGTGACGGGAAGAATGGTTTGTAACCTTTCGCATACTGACGAGGGAAAACATACAGATACTCTAGGTTTAATGCATTCACTCTTTCACCACAAAGAAAGCAGGTTTCAAAATATAAACTTTCATTTAGTTTTTGGCTGTTTGCTACCACACCATGCGCAGTGGGGCTTAAATCGTTCTTGATCACCATTCTTGTGGTGAGTGTGTCATCATTGTGCAGCTTCCGAGAAGACTCGATGGGTTTTACATGTGAGACCTGATGTGATGGTTTCGTATGTTGTTCGTAAGATTTCTTACAGTCGAAACAAACGGGGCTTCTTCCTGGATCATCTACATTTCTATTGCCTGACAAGATGGCACTTTCTTCCTTTCCACAACTATAATCAATTTGGCCCCTGGTCTTCTGTTTCTTGCATACAGAACATGTATACATTGTTGGCAATACATCAGGGTTAACATCATTCTTATTTTTGGAAGCATGTCCCTTCTTGACCTTATACTCCCTCTCATGTATGCCTAATCCAGCATCTTCAAACGCATTCCACTGATTTGTCAATGACGTTTGACAAGATTCACACACCTTCACAACACCTGCTTCTGTAACCTCTGTTACACCAGCAGGTGGTGAACGTCTTAACAAAAATGGAAAATAAGGCACTCCGGAATTTCCTTTCGTAGCTCGGACATTTTGTCCTGATGTTTTGGGATGGTCTTCACCACAGAGGAAGCAAACAAACAGATCTGCATTAGCCTCTTTTCGAACATCGCACGCTGACGGCAGGGTATAATATCGTTCAGATAAGGGTGTACACGACTTCTCGTACTTCTCCCACTGTTTACATAAATAAACTTTGCAACTTTTACAAACTTTAACTTTTCCCATAAAATCAACTTTGTGAGAGCGTTGGGCTAGGAATGGATAGAAGGGGGTCTCGGTTTTAAGTTGCGGCTTCGTGTAAATGGTCCTTAGGTGAATGCTCCCCCCTTGTTGGCCGCAAGAACAGCATGACTCCCCCCTTTCTATGTCCTCAATTCCCTCCTGTAGACTTTTCGAATTCTTGCTCTCCTTTCCAAGTTTCTCACACTTTTTCTTGTTTTCATTTTGAGCTGTTGACGATAGCTCATCTGAGGACCTCTTGTTATTAATTTCATGCTTGCTCTTATCCGAACCACTTAAACCCGGAAAATTATTTTCTAGACTTTTGGCGTCATTTGCACTATCCGAATTAATACTTGATTCCATGATTATTTCGTGGCTTTTCCCTGCTGAAGTATTGGATTCGTCGTCACTAAATTTGTCTTCATCTAAAGTCAACATATCGTTGTTTACAGTCCCCGATCGCTTTAACCAATAATTTCGTTTCGACATCGGGGTATCGTTTTCCTCATACGAATGCCATTGTTGTATTAAAAACGAAAAGCAAAGTGTGCAAGCGTCGATACGACCATTTGACCTCATCGGTTGAGCGCCTTCCGCCTTGTCAATCGATTGCAGAGATGGAAAATAGGGCGATTTTTCTGCTTCGTTTTCTTTACAATATAGCGACCAGTTACCTCCGTTTCCCCCGCAGACATAGCACAAAATGCGTCCATTTTTTGTCCCTTCGTTTTTGTCCTCAGAATTGCTGGAAATAGCTTTCAATTCGGGTTCAATTTTGTCTCCTTTGCTGGACATTATTCACTTTTTGTTGTCTTTGACCTCGACGCGCGCGCGACTTCCTTCGCATTGCGCAGATTTGCAATACAAAAGGACTAGAACTAGGAACTAAATTAAAGCACTATAATTAAAATTTTTAATTGAAAAAATAAAATACATTTTTTACGTGTTATTTTGGACCCAAAAAAGCCACAAAATCGTGCCTTCTCTGTTAAATAAAACCAAAAAATGTTGCGCTTTAGACCCAAGTTATAAGTTTGGTTTCTAAAACGCTTATGAAATTCTCAAATGGCCTTTTTAAACATATTTAAAACACCTGGTGTTTTTGAATTTTTGTCGTGTAATTTGCATGACAATACTTGGAACATGCTGTCGTGTTCGAATCATAACGTTTTCAAAATGATTTACTATTGTGGGCAGAATGTAATAGGTGTACACGTCAAGAGCGTATTAGATTCGCAGATAAAATCTGTAATTACACATTAAAATAATCCTCAATGACTCCAAGTCGAGGCCATCTGTCAGAAGTCGATCTTTCAAGAACTGACCGAAAGTAGCAATCTCGAATCTCTAGGCTCTTTATCTCCACACGTTAAAGTAGCAGTTTTTGTTAGCGTTGAATAGCGTGGTTTTCCTATTTTATTGGTCAACTGAGTTTATACATTGACAAAGTTAGCGAAACGTTTCAGAAACTACAAGGGGAACTTTGACATTTCGAAGCAATCGAAGGAAGGCTCTTATAGGCTTGCGGGCGGACGAATGGCCTTTCGGCTCGAAACGCAGGTAGTTCCATCCCTACTATCCCTTTGAAACTACCTAATTGTCGAGAAAAGTTTCAATTTTTGCATTTGATTTCAAAATTAATGCTCTGCATAATATCAAGACTATCGGCACTTCAAACTTAGCTAAAATAACTAGCATTTAAATCTGAGGTCACATTCACCTCAAGTAACGGTCAAACTGATTACTAACGATCTTACAGAGCGATTTAACGAGTTATTAGTTTGATTATACATTTATCATGCGGTATAAAACACGGCATAAATATATACAGAGGTATGTTAATTTAACTACCGCCACTGTAATTTAAAACATGCTCAACATAATGTATAACAAACTCCAACAATATTAATAAGGGAATAAATTTTCACATAAGTTTGTACTCATAAAAAAGGCCGGCCAGTTTCATAAATTTATATTTAAACTCAAATCCATACCAGATTTAGATGAATGAACGACTACATTTACCTGTGTTTTATATGCACATTTGTTGTAGTTTAAAAAAAATTAATTCGTTTCGTATTTTTAGAAGCTTTTGTTTTCGTTTCGTCATGTCTATTTGATTATTTGAACAGGTGGGAGCCGGAATATCGGCTATTGATGGCGCGATGGCGGCAATACATGGGCTCTATATTTAAATGGTTCAATTTAATCGCCATCTGGATGAGTTTTAATTAGAAATTAGAATGTTGCGATGAACTAAAAATTTGCATGAAACATTAACATTGTGCTCATGTCAGTTTATGTTTTTTAAAAAGAAATCTCGCTCTCTGATTTTGATTTAAGTCAACTGGCATGCCCGTATCATTATCGCTATCATTTACTGACATCTTCTATAAACCGTAACAGCACAGAAGCTGCAGTCACAGAATAGAGACATACAGCGGATCGTGCCATGCCATAATTCGCAATGATCCGTCATCAAAATGCTGTCGCCATGGTCCTAGCCAGTGCGGTTATGAGAGGCTCACTCCCCTGAACATCCGTCATTTTGATTGTTTTCAGGGGGGAGGGTGAATGCCTCTTGTAAGCGCACTGGCTACGGACTATGGCGAGAGGTGATTGCAAAGGTTGAAAAACGGGTTATGCCAAAATGAAAGGCAAACAAAGAAATCGACCTTCTGTATGGTTCCTATTCTGTGCTGCAGTGCCATCCTCATGCCCAGGGCTTCTGCGCTTGTCGCCACAATGTTGCAGTGCAGTGCCATTAGAGATAGTAATCAGTCGGTCAAGAGGCCTGGAAATAGTCCGCGTTGCATTTCATCTTTGTTAGGCTTCACGGTTGCCTGAAGGTTGCCTGCGCAGGCAGCTGCACCCTCGTTCCCAGGCCCAACCCGAGCTTGGGCCTGGGAACGAGGATGAGGCAGCTGTTGGAACGAGGAGCTCAGTTTACTCAGCCACTATCTACTCTGAACTTTTCACTGATTATATCATTCAGATTTTTTAATTAATTCAGTCAGTGCATTTAAATTCCAATATAGTACGTAAGTCATAATATAACTACTATCAATATGAGTATAAATATTTTACAATCACAGATTGGCTTTACAACTTAAAGCCCAGCAGATCAAACGGGCATGAGAGTTGGCAATCACGTAGATTAGGGACTGGTCTTAAAGTAACTGCTAGGGTGGGCTGGAGGTAAATCACAAATTTTGCCAATAAGTTCGGTGACCCATCTTAGGAAGCTCATCTAATCTTACAAAACATTTTTCATGACCCACCCAATCTAAATTGGGAAAATACATTTTTATAATGAAAAAACTTGCTGGTATGAACATTGTAAATATACACGGCACTGTATTGACATAAATAATTCCACCAAGCTTGACCAACACGTTGATACTGAGCTGCTCTCCAGTTGGTTGTATTTGCTGTGATTCGACCACTTCTTGTTGTTGTATAAACAAAGTACTGGCTTCAATAGCATCATTTGCATTTGATAATTTGGATAGTTTTGTTTAGTTTTATTATTAATATCTTTATTTTTTGAAGTAGACATGCATGGATTTTTGTTTGGTGGCCCAACCGTGAGCATACAAAAAAGTTGGCGGCCCATCGCAACGGCCCAAAGATTTTCCATGGCCCATCCCAAATCACTCCAGCCCACCCTAGCAGTTACTTTATGACCGGTCCCTAAGCTGTTTTTAATGTTTTCCCAACACTATCATCTCATTCAGTATTTTATATACAGGAATTTTATTTTCGATCAGTTAAAGTTGAAACACAGTTGGAATACTCATGAAACCTTCATTTTGTTAATCTAGAGCTTGAAATGTCTCGCGTAACAATGTATAACTGCCAACTCTTATCCTCGTTTGACCGACGCTTTATTTTAGACCTATCAGGCTTTTTATGCATTAGATATGACAACCTTAAAAGAGGGTCCTGAAGGGGGGAGGGGGTCGTATTCCCATTTCCCAGCCCAAACTTTGACTAAATCCCATTGTCCCAGAACACAAATCCCATCATCTCAGTGGCTGTCCTGCTTAAATCTTAATCCCATTCCCATTTTCTATTGTTTTTTTTTGCTGATGAATCCCAGTCCCAGTGCATGAAATCCCATTTTCCCACCCAAAAATAAGCAAATCCCAGTTCCCATTTTACACCTTCAGGACCCTCTTAAAACTTTTCGCCATCAAATTTCTGTTATATATTTACATACTTCAGTAATAAAACGCATCGCAGCAAGTCCAGTTGATTTTATTACTCCGTATACAGTTTGGATACACCAATTTTGGATGCACTGTATCGTGCACTAAAACAATGAATACAACACGCACGACATACCATATCTGACATTTCCCAACTTGCCAACCAATTCCCAAGTATTGGTACTAAAATCAAAGCTCTCGATGCTGTTCTCTCCACGACCGCCCATGCACCAGAGCTGCCCATTGAAGAAAACCGCGCCGAACTCGTTCCGTGGTCGCATCATGTCATATGTGAACTCGACCCACTCCTCCTTGTCGCTGTCTAAATCAAAAGTTTCGATACTTTTGAACGTCCCCGAGTTGTTCCGACCTCCAATTGCAAATATCTGGTTGCGAATGATAAGTGTAGTTAGGCCAAATCTTGTGGAATTCATCTTTACCATCATTTTCCATTTGTTAGAACGGTTTGAATAGCGCATGGTGGTGGCCAGGGGTTCGTCTGCTCCATAACCACCCATAACATAAATACGACCGTTGCTGGCAACCGCACCTAAAATACAGTGAAGTTGATATGATGACCGAGAAACATGTTATACCTTCCTTTCTCGTATTTAAGGTAAAGCTCGAGATGTTAACCATCTTTCCATGCAGCCGAATCCTGAATGAAGAACACAGCTCAAACATGAACAAGCCAATTAACGGCTTACTAGAGCACCCGTGGCCGCTGGAGCTTAAGCAAGTGACATTTTTGTCAACACAGACTTCAACAGAGATTGCCAAAGGGGGAGGCTGGATTGTCTCAGTTTGTGGTAATCTTCAACACATGACAAAACATAAGATTTTTACTTTTTGTATGTGTTGGTGTTATGTACATAGGTGAATATGATGTTTGTGGTGTTAGTATCCCAAAGGTCGCGGGTTCGATTCCCACCGTGGATGCACAGTCAAAGTGACACCACAAACATCATAAGATTTTCATATGAGCACTATGATGCAAAATGCAGCCAAAATTAATTATGCCAATTTTTGGGTGACGTCCTTGTTGAAAAAAACGTCACGTCGCTCACTTAAGCTGGCTAACACTTTACCTTCGACCATAGAATAAAAATCCATATAGAAGGGCCACTCACGTCGGAAGCTTTGAAGTTTCTGTCCTCGCGCATGTCGCATTACGCATGTTGGCCGCCATTTTTCTAGCCAGTCAATGACATTTTCTGGCCAATAAACACACTGTACTGGCTGGCTGCTCCGCCTTCTGGCCAGTAAACTGCATATTTTTGCATAAAAAGACGAGGACATGTTGCACCGCTGAGTGGCCCTTCTGTTACTGATCTTTATTCTGTGCCTTCGACCATCAATAGAAGGCTTAACACACCGATAAGAGGCAGCACGTAAATCGTACCTGCCCCCCCCCCCTTTAGGACAGCTATACACACATGCTAGAAGTCCTGACCTGCAGATCGTCGTCCCTCTGGCATGTCTGTGAGTTGACTCCAGGTCTGGGTCATTACATTGAAACATTTTACTGCCGTAGGTTGATCTCGTCCACCAATCACGTAGAAGTTTTCTTCGTCAGCACAAATTGCTGACTCCCGGATGTTCACCCCTGAAATGTAGATAGATGGAAAATGTACACTCGTAAAAATTTCACTGAAATTGTCAACAAGGTGTGTTCGCAACGGGCTTGTAGCAATCTTGTCAACAAGTTGTAACAACGCTGTTATTTTATCACGTTGCCACAAGGTTGTCACTCACAACTCCTTGACAGATTCGATTGAATTGCAGGACGATCTAACAAGTTGTTGGAACAACTTGTAACAAGTCCGTTGTGAACAACAACTTGTTGCAAGTTGTCAACAAGCTTGATGGCATTATCAGAGTTGTTTCAAGTTTGTTCTAACAAGTCTGATACAGTCATGATGTAACAAGAATGTTATAATTAAGGTTGATGACACAAGGATATGACAACATTGTTGTATCATGACTGTAAAGGACTTGTTAGAACAACCTTGCAACAAGTCTGATAATATCAACAAGGTTGTTACAACTGTTAACAGCTTGTTCCAAACTTGTTGACAACTTGGGACAAGCAGTGCGGACCAACTCGTTGACGGCTTGTTGGCAGACTTTCTACAGAATGTGAAATCTTTACGTGACCTACCTTTAGCAACCTTTTCCCACATCAAAGCCAAATTGTTGAACTTTTCCACTTTCGTGGAGGACACTACATACAGATCATTGTTCACAACAACAGAAACCTTGTGTCCTTGATCCGAAGACATTTTTCGTCCGTCCATGATGCGTCTTTCTTGCACACACTCTATCCTGATTGGGTCGTACTTCTCAACAACGCTTGCTTTACTGTCGAACATGTAGATTATCTGAAAATTGAAACGAAATTATGATTAATTTTAGAAAAATATCCTAATGTCATTTGTCACCTAAAAATCCAGACACTGTTACTCGGTTATTTATGTTATAAATTTATAGTTAACGTTGTAAATTATGATAGACTCTTAATTTGTATATAGGTGGCAGAATAAATGTGTGGTTGGGTGGGCCAGACAAACTCGATTCAGGTTGGGGGAGCTATACAGGTAGGGGTGTCCCCCAAATTTTGAATCTAGAGGCTCGTAAGTACGTTCTGGCAAAGATTTGTGTCACCCAACCACCCACTGAAAAACTGTTTCAAAACATGTAACTGGGAATCATGAATACTCAATATATAACAACCTTAGGCAGCAAAGAATATTAGGTTCTCCCACTCTAATCTCTTTTGGATAGCTTCGCTCGCCCCAATTTTACCTCCTGTTCCATTACCCCGGCATGTATATGACATAATACTATGTCCTCTCCCAGAAAACGTTTAGATTTTTGATGCTCAATTAATGACAGCATTTCTGGCATCTGGAGCATCCACAAGGAAAACGAGTAAATGAGAAGACTGTTTTGAGGTTATATTTTTGTTAATTTGGTGACTGCACATTTGAGTTTTAAGAACTGCACAAATGGGTTTAAAACTGCACATTTTGTGTAGAACTGCACGCTAAAATAAACCCTGGTTCACGACCTAGCTCCATTCGGTCATGTTTGAGCTGTGTCCTTCACGATTCAAGCTGCAAGGAAACTTAGCAAAGATGATTATCGATCCTTTACCTTCGCTAAAAAAAAGGTGGTCTCGCGTTCCGCAAAAGCATGTATGGAAACCTAATATAGGTGTTTATCCAAACTCCATTCCTCATAAAGATTTATATGCATGGGTAACTAAAGCAATACCCAACTATTTAAATTTATTTTTCTCACCCTGCTTGGACATCTGTGGTTCAGTTTCGTGTCCATTGCTTGTCGTTTTTTCTTGTCAGAACTTTGATAAATAATCGCTTGCTTTATTTCATCTTTGCAAATCCCTATCCCCTTGGCGACATCTGGAACAACACGATCTGTGATGAATTTTGGATCGAGTTGGAAGAATCGAACGTTGCTGAATAATTCCTGACACTGACAGTTGCTTTCACGTCTGAAGAAGAACAATAAGATAAGAGGAAACATTAATCTTTTCAGGGCAAATTTCGGCTTCGAATGGCGGCTTAATTTTCCCGTGTGTTTGCATGATTAAAAAGATTCTCTATGATAATAGACAACTCTCTCTAGATGTTCAGTAAGGTAAGAGTCATATTGGTCCAGTTAACCTTCAGACGGATAGACCTTTCCCCTTTTGAGTGGAATTTTGATCTAGACAAGTCTGGACAAAAATTTCATCACAGCTTGAAAGAGCATCACAAAAGTAGTAATATTCCGAAGTTTCGTTGCGAAATGTTGTAAAATGCGGATAATATAGCCTTCCGAAGTTTGCCGTTTTTCAGTCATTTTGTATTACAAATGAGAAATTGATAATCAGTTTGATCATTTGATTATCAATTTCCCGTTTGTAATGCAAAATGACTGAAAAACGGCTAACTTCGCAAGGCTATATTATCCGCATTTTACAACATTTCGCAACGAAACTTTGGAATATTACTAATTTTATGATGCTCTTTCAAGCTGTGATGAAATTTTTGTCCAGGCATATCTAGATCAAAATTTCACTCATAAGGGGGAAGCTCTATTTGTGGCCGTTTCGCTTTAAGCCAGTTTTCCACTTCAATTCGTACCGAAACGTATAGCGTCGGGCCGTTTTCCACTCCGAAGCGTATTTCTTTGTTTCCTGCAGAGCGGTAGTGTGGAACTAATGACATTGACACACAAGAAAATGCTATGGTACGTTACGATACGATATGGTTGAAGTGGGTTGAAGTGGAAAACAGAGAAAAACTATATAGTTAAGTTGAAATATTATCAACATGGATATCGATATCGAACGAATCTTACTCTTGGTCGTGTTTAAACCATTTCCATATTGCTTCATAAACATCCTCCTCTTTCTCGATATTCAAAACATCGTTGCACACCAACGCGCCTATTTTCGACGCAGGTAGCTCTAACCATTCATCCAGCGCAGCTACCTCATTAAAATGCCAGTTGATGTAGCGAACTATTGTTTTCTGTAGATCTTTTAGCCCATATTCTTCAACTTTGGAGTAGTACTCCAAACAGTTTTCGGCAGTTAAGTGCCTGACGACATGGTCCTCGAGTCTGTCCAGAATGTCCTGGGTCTTAAATATACAAATTAGTTTTTAAAAATAGACCGATACAGATGTTTGTGATGTTACTCTGAGTGTATATCCACACCGGGCGAGCTTGAAAAATATGCCGGCCACGGTGGGAATCGAACCTACGACCTTTGGGATACTAGCCAAATGCTCTGTCAACCGAGATACGCGCATTCAGGTCGGTTCGACCGTGGTCGGGCATATTTTTCAAGCTCGCCCGTGGATATACACTCAGAGTAACATCACAAACATCATATTCACCTGAGTACACAACACTAACACAGAAAAAATCATATTACTAGATTACATTGGTATCGAGGGAACTAGATTCTGTTTCGAAATATCACTTACTCGAATCGACCTGACCACGTAGCTCAGTTGGCAGAGCATTGGGCTAGTATTCCAAAGGTCGTAGGTTCGATTCACACCGTGGCCGGGCATATTTTTCAAGCTCGTCCAGTGTGGATATACTCAGAATATAAACATCACAAACATCGTATTCACCTGAGTACACAACACCAACACAGAAAAAAGACCGATATAGGTTACTGATTAGTTTAAAACTCTAGGCAGTCAGACATTTCCCAACAACGGAATGTATAAGTTTCAATCTACTGTAAATTATTTGGCTATACGTTTACACCATACCGGCACAGAATAAAGACATACAGAAGTGTATCTTCTTATTAAAAGCGCGTAAGGGATTTTTTCAGTCGCCATGTTTTTAGCAAGTGCCCTAAAGAGAGGCAGTCGGCCCCCTGAAAACATGTTGAAAATTTAATATTCCAGGGGGGTGAATGCCTCTCTTTAGGGCACTTGCTAAGAACATGGCCGACAGCTATTTCGGTAAAAAAGCGCCTTACGGTTTTGTAATGGAAGTTACACTTCTGTATGTCTTTATTCTGTGATGCCGGATAGCTATATGTATAAGCTTCAATGTTCCACTGTAAACTATTTGGCTAAGTTTACACTATATTTCGGTTTCCATATATAGCGGCACGAAAAAGCACCTGTCCGATACAGAATCTGACATCTTTCAGAACGTGAGTGCCGAAACAACATCGCTCCGTTGCAATAGTTCCTCGCAGAAAATAGCGTTCCTAAAAGGTACGGATAGGGTTTTTTCACGTCGCTATCTGAAAGCTATCCGGCCGAGTTTAACCGTAGCCGAGAGTAAACCAAATACAAAATGTCTTACCTGAAAAAGAACTGCACTTGTAAGCATATCTGGTAAGAGCTTCGCGTCAAATTCAAGACGTCCTGTATAGAAGTAATTTATAATTATCGCGACAACTCTGGAATCATGCTCTTCTGGCACAACAAAGCTCTCTTCATCCGCGTCGATGTCTTTCAAAGCTTCTCTGAAGTAGGGACTACAGGCAGAAAGAACTACTCTGTGGGCTGAAATTTCGTCCACGCTCGTTTCGACTTTTATATCGCAAAATTCGTCCATGTCCCGCATTTCTGTGAGCATGGAAAACACTTGCGAGCTGTGTTTTGGATTTGTGAAACATATATTTGCCGCCATTGCAATAATGCAGCGAATTTAAGTCAATGAAAATAGATATATAATACAATACTCAACGAGTAGTTCATGATACGTGAGTGTTTTAAACCGGGTTGCTAATTGGAAACAAGCTGGAATACATAAATAATAAATAGCTATAAGTAAAACCACAGTTAAACAAAATATGCAAGGTTATAACGTCCTCAACTGGTATAGCCTGTTTAGAAGAATGTAAGAGACATATTCGATATATGTAAAATTGGAAAATGAGGTGGTGCACAGATTAATTAATTCAGGAATCAGTGTGGAAAAAATATTTCTTCAAAAATTATTCCGATATAAAAATATATTGCATTTTTACAACAGGTACTTATTGACACAGCCACCTGCCTTGGTGTACATTTAAACAGCAATGTAGTGACATGGAAAATTATTTATCTATTTTTAAACAATCTAGCGATTTCAGTTTACTTTTTGAAAGTTAATAAAACAGTCAATGAAAAGAAGTTTTGAAAGATATGTAGACCAATTAACCCAAAACGTTATAGCGCTTCTAAATATTTGGAAAACTTAAATCAGCATTTTATATTATTCACTGTAGGATTAACCAATGGCATTGGGAAACTAATTGGCATATGCCGCGTACTTGGCTAGCGCATGGTTAATCCAATACTGGTTAAAAATATTTTTGTACCCCAAATGGTGGTTTCAAAAGTTTATTTATTTATTAAGCTTTTGCCAACAAGGGCAGGGTCGCCACAACAGCATATGCCAATGACTGCGGGCCCTTTCACAGCTAACCCACCTTGTCAACTTTCCCTGTGAGAGGAAACCGGTGTACCCGGAGAAAACCCACAACTTTAGGCAGAGCGTTGACTTAAGCTCTTTTCACATGAGGACTGGGTTCGAGTCGCATTGAGAAAGTTCCAACTCAGGCTTGAACCTCAGTGCGACCTTAGAGGTGCATGAAAGGCGAATCCCACTTCGCCACTTTAACCACTCTTTTTCAGTAGGAGCAAGTAAATTAAACTATACATCTCTCAATTCAATACCTTATAGCCATGCACGGCGGTTTATCGCCATAAAGGATAACGGGTTTCGGCATACCACATAGTGACGGCAGTTTGTACCAATAAAGGATACCGGATTTCGGTCATATACATTGGTACACATTATAGCTACAGCTGTTTGTGGCTTTAAAGTACACCAGAATACAGTATAACTTATAGCCACGGCGGTTTGTGGCCATCAAGTATACCGGATTTCAGTATACCTATAGCCACGGCGGTTTCAGTATGCCTTATAGCCATTCAACTTGGATAGTTATGACGTTGATGGTTATGATTTCAGTATACCTTATAGCCACGGCGGTTTCAGTATGCCTTATATAGCCATTCAACTTGAATAGCTATGCCGTTGATGGTTATGATTTCAGTATACCTTATAGCCACGGCGGTTTCAGTATGCCTTATATACAGTGGCGGCGCCAGGAGGGAGGGGGGGGGGGGCAACGGGGGGCAAATACCCCCAATTATTTTTTGCCCCCCATTTTGCCCCCCCCCCTCAAAAAAATTATTAGTCACTAAGAGCGACTAAAGGCTACACAACCGTTCTGTCGTTATTGGGAAATGTATGGCTTATAAGTTGTCATTACTCATTAGTGAATGCGCGTATACATGAAACTGTTCTTTACAGTTTCAAAATTAGTTTGTAAATCTCTGAATGGTAAAACTTGCCAATACTCCAATAATACGTTTCAAAAAAAGACAAAAAAGCTTTAGTTTTGCCGAGTTAAATTCTCAAACGTGTAAGGCAATAATAAGATGAAAGTATCACGAAATTATTTGAATAAACCACATCGCATATATGGGGGGGCGAATGTCCTAAAGAGGGGCGATATTCCTAGGAATATCGCCACGTTTTGAGAGGGGGGGGGGCGAATTTCCTGGGGGGGGGAGCGACCTTTTTAAAAATTCTATCTTGCCCCGCCAAAATTTGAATTTGCCCCTATAATGCCCCCCCAAATTTGGAAGCCTGGCGCCGCCACTGTCCAAGTTGAATGGTTATGCCGAAGACAGTCAACGGTATCACCATCCAACTTGAATGGTTATGCCGAAGGCAGTCAACGGCATAACCATCCAAATTGAGTGGTTATGCCGAAGACAGTCAACGGCATAACCATCCAAGTTGAATGGTTATACCGAAGATAGTCAGCGACATAACCATCTACTTGAATGGTTATGCCGAAGACAGTCAACGGCATAACCATGCAAATTGAATGGTTGTGCCGAAGACAGTCAACGGCATAACCATGCAAATTGAATGGTTATGCCGAAGACAGACAACGGCATAACCATCCAAGTTGAATGTTTATGCCGAACATATACAACGGCATAAATAAAGTCTAAATTGAATGTTTATGCCGAACATATACAACGGCACAAACATCTAAGTTGAATGTTTATACCGAACATATACAACGGCATAAACATCTAAATTGAATGTTTATGCCGAACATATACAACGGCATAAACATCTAAGTTGAATGTTTATGCCGAACATATACAACGGCATAAACATCCAAGTTGAATATTTATTGATTGAGATCACTAGTTCAGATCAATGCGGTATGTTCGAGAACACGTGGTACAGTGGTAGAAACCACAGACGTCAAATGCGTAATGGATCGATTCTCGCCGAACATTTTTTTATATTTTCGCGCCAAGAAATATTCGGAAATTACTAATTTTTTTTTTCTTCAAAAATATTTCCTCAGGTTGAAAGCAAACGGTATATTCCTACTTACTTTAGCCAAATGTTTATGCGGCACATATATTCAACGCGATAAACATCTGACTTGAACGGCTATGCCGAACGGAGTTAACGGCATAACCATCCAAGTTGAATGGTTATTCCGAAGACAGTTAACAGTATGACCATCCAACTTGAATGGTTATGCCGAAGGCAGTCAACGGAATAACCATCCAAATTGAATGGTTATGCCGAAGACAGTCAACGGCATAACCATCCAAGTTGAATGGTTATGCCGAAGACAGTCAGCTGCATAACCATCTACTTGAATGGTTATGCCGAAGACAGTCAACGGCATAACCATGAAATTGAATGGTTATGCCGAAGACTGACAACGGCATAACCATCCGAGTTGAATGTTTACGCCGAACATATACAACGGCATAAACATCAAAGTTGAATGTTTATGCCGAACATATGCAACGGCATAAACATCTAAGTTGAATGTTTATGCCGAACATACACAACGGCATAAACATCAAAATTGAATGTTTATGCCGAACATATACAACGGCATAAACATCTAAGTTGAATGTTTATGCCGAACATATACAACGGCATAAACATCCAAGTTGAATATTTATTGATTGAGATCGCTAGTTCAGATCAATGCGGTATGTTCGAGAACACGTGGTACAGTGGTAGAAACCACAGACGTCAAATGCGTAATGGATCGATTCTAGCCGAACATTTTTTTATATTTTCGCGCCAAGAAATATTCGGAAATTACTAAATTTTTTTTTCTTCAAAAATATTTCCTCAGGTTGAAAGCAAACGGTATATTCCTACTTACTTTAGCCAAATGTTTATGCGGCACATATTCAACGCGATAAACATCTGACTTTAACGGCTATGCCGAACGGAGTCAACGGCATAACCATCCAAGTTGAATGGTTATGCCGTAGACAGTTAACGGTATGACCATCCAACTTGAATGGTTATGCCGAAGGCAGTCAACGGCATAACCATCCAAATTGAATGGTTATGCCGAAGACAGTCAACGGCATAACCATCCAAGTTGAATGTTTATGCCGAAGACAGTCAACGGCATAACCATCCAAGTTGAATGGTTATGCCGAAGACAGTCAGCGGCATAACCATCTACTTGAATGGTTATGCCGAAGACAGTCAACGGCATAACCATGCAAATTGAATGGTTGTGCCGAAGATTGACAACGGCATAACCATCCGAGTTGAATGTTTATGCCGAACATATACAACGGCATAAACATCTAAATTGAATGTTTATGCCGAACATATACAACGGCATAAACATCTAAGTTGAATGTTTATGCCGAACATACACAACGGCATAAACATCAAAATTGAATGTTTATGCCGAACATATACAACGGCATAAACATCTAAGTTGAATGTTTATGCCGGACATATACAACGGCATAAACATCCAAGTTGAATATTTATTGATTGAGATCGCTAGTTCAGATCAATGCGGTATGTTCGAGAACACGTGGTACAGTGGTAGAAACCACAGACGTCAAATGCGTAATGGATCGATTCTCGCCGAACAATTTTTTATATTTTCGCACCAAGAAATATTCGGAAATTACTAATTCTTTTTTTTTCTCCAAAATATTTGCTCAGGTTGAAAGCAAACGGTATATTCCTACTTACCTTAGCCAAATGTTTATGCGGAACAAATTCAACGCCATAAACATCTGAGTTGAACGGCTATGCCGAACCGAGTCAACGGCATAACCATCCAAGTTGAATGGTTATGCCGAAGGCAGTCAACGGCATAACCATCCAAGTTGAATGGTTATGCCCAAGGCAGTCAACGGCATAACCATCCAAGTTGAATGGTTATGCCAAAGACAGGCAATGCCATAACCATCCAAGTTGAATGGTTATGCCGAAGACAGTCAACGGCATAACCATCCAAGTTGAATGGTTATGCCGAGGGCAGTCAACGGCATAACCATCCAAGTTGAATGGTTATGCCGAAGACAGTCAACGGCATAACCATCCAAGTTGAATGGTTATGCCGAAGGCAGTCAACGGCATAACCATCCAAGTTGAATGGTTATGCCGAAGGCAGTCAACGGCATAACCATCCTAGTTGAATGGTTATGCCGAAGGCAGTCAACGGCATAACCATCCAAGTTGAATGGTTATGTCGAAGACAGTCAACGGCATAACCATCCAAATCGACTGGTTATGCCGAAGGCAGTCAACGGGATAACCATCCAAGTTGAATGGTTATGCCGAAGGCAGTCAACGGCATAACCATCCAAGTTGAATGGTTATGCCGAAGACAGTCAACGGCATAACCATCCAAGTTGAATGGTTATGCCGAAGACAGTCAACGGCATAACCATCCAAGTTGAATGGTTATGCCGAAGACAGTCAGCGGCATAACCATCTACTTGAATGGTTATGCCGAAGACAGTCAACGGCATAACCATGAAATTGAATGGTTATGCCGAAGACTGACAACGGCATAACCATCCGAGTTGAATGTTTACGCCGAACATATACAACGGCATAAACATCTAAATTGAATGTTTATGCCGAACATATACAACGGCATAAACATCAAAGTTGAATGTTTATGCCGAACATATGCAACGGCATAAACATCTAAGTTGAATGTTTATGCCGAACATACACAACGTCATGAACATCAAAATTGAATGTTTATGCCGAACATATACAACGGCATAAACATCTAAGTTGAATGTTTATGCCGAACATATACAACGGCATAAACATCCAAGTTGAATATTTATTGATTGAGATCACTAGTTCAGATCAATGCAGTATGTTCGTGAACACGTGGTACAGTGGTAGAAACCACAGACGTCAAATGCGAAATGGATCGATTCTCGCCGAACAATTTTTTATATTTTCGCACCAAGAAATATTCGGAAATTACTAATTCTTTTTTTTTCTCCAAAAATATTTCCTCAGGTTGGAAGCAAACGGTATATTCCTACTTACCTTAGCGAAATGTTTATGCGGAACATATTCAACGCCATAAACATCTGAGTTGAACGGCTATGCCGAACCGAGTCAACGGCATAACCATCCAAGTTGAATGGTTATGCCGAATGCAGTCAACGGCATAACCATCCAAGTTGAATGGTTATGCCGAAGGCAGTCAACGGCATAACCATCCAAGTTGAATGGTTATGCCGAAGACAGTCAACGGCATAACCATCCAAGTTGAATGGTTATACCGAATACAGCCATTGGCATAACCATCCAAATCGAATGGTTATGCCGAACATATACAACGGCATAACCATCTAAATTGAATGTTTATGCCGAACATATACAACGGCATAAACATCTAAGTTGAATGTTTATGCCGAACATATACAACGGCATAAACATCTTAATTGAATGTTTATGCCGAACATATACAACGGCATAAACATCTAAGTTGAATGTTTATGCCGAACATACACAACGGCATAAACATCTAAATTGAATGTTTATGCCGAACATATACAACGGCATAAACATCTAAGTTGAATGTTTATGCCGAACATATACAACGGCATAAATATCCAAGTTGAATATATATTGATTGAGATCACTAGTTCAGATCAATGCGGTATGTTCGAGAACACGTGGTACAGTGGTAGAAACCACAGACGTCAAATGCGTAATGGATCGATTCTCGTCGAACATTTTTTTATATTTTCGCGCCAAGAAATATTCGGAAATTACTATTTTTTTTTTCTTCAAAAATATTTCCTCAGGTTGAAAGCAAACGGTATATTCCTACT